TTGTCTCAATCAATGGGAAGAGGAGCGGGGTTAACTCGATTATGGATAAGATTTGTTATTTTGGTAAATCACAGTGTGTTATACAGTAAGTAATATTTACTGATGACCACATTTCGAGCACAATTTCTTATTGCCACTGCTCATAATCATATCAAGGTACTACTCACACAACTCACTTTCTTGCTTCATTTATATACATGAGTAAACATTGATGATTAGACATTTGAATAAAATCAGTAATATAAGATAAACTCCATTCGGAAATGATAATATTAGTGTTATCAATAAAATACAATCAGATGGGAAATAAGACGAGTGTTTTTATAGTCATAATAAGTAACTTGTTAGAAACTTGTGAAACTAATAATGACAACATAAATAAGGCAACATCTGAGACCCTACGGAGGATTCTTAATAAAGCAGGAATTAAGGTAGCATTCAAACCTAAAGGCTCACTCAGAGACAAGCCCTGTAGATTAAGGTTCCCGGTGGACCCGATTAGACAAAATAATATAATTTACAAAGTACCTTCCAATGACTGCGAGTTAAGTCAATTACATAGGTCAAACTAGTAGGTCTGGGGTAGTCGGGTTGTCCGAACATAAGAATTTAGCTAAGGTTAGAATGGCTGATCCCAAGAAGATAAGTAATTTAGAAAAAAGCTCAGCGATTGCAATGCATGCATTAACACACAACTACACAATAGGGTGGGACGGAGTCAAAATTCTAACAAGTAATATAGATAGAGATAGATTGATTACTGAATCCTGGTTCATCGAGTCTACACCCAACACATGCAACAGAAATGACTCAATGCAAATACCAGAGATATGGAAGATATTATTACCACCAGTCAGTCGAATCAGAGGAGGATAATAAATGATCTTAAAATTCTTTTTCAATTCACATACATTATGACATTCAAACAAGTTATTTTTGAATGTACTTTATCTTATATTACTGATTTTACTCAATCAAATGTCTAATAGCATCAATTTTTACTCATGTATATAAATGAAGCAAAAGGTTGTGTGACCGACTTGATATGATTATGAGTGGCTATGATAAATTGTGCTCGAAACGTGGTGGCATCAGTAAATATTACTTACTGTATAACAACACACTGTGTGATTTATCAAAACAACAAATATCCATAATGGAGTTATACTCTACCACCACAGTGCCCAAGTTTTTTACTTATATCAACAAAGAGGATACACATCAAAAGATATCGTAAACTTGTCAGTCACATTTAACACCCTTATTTCTTTCTTTCGACAAATTCAAAATACTATCTTTTACCAATTCGTAATGCTAGAGGCCTTATGCCAGAGCTTTACCAACCATTTTACTGTTGCATGATATGAGGATATGTCTAACACTGGTTGAAGTGGCAAACCAGTTTTATAGACTTGGTAGCCGACATAGTCTTGGTGTAATAGAGAAGATTTGTAGCTCAGGTGGATGATTTGCAATTAAAAGTGTTCTCTGAGCTGGTTGGTTTAGTTGCGAAGCTTTCGTCGTTCTCCTGGACAACATCTTCAGCGCCATATTTAGCACAAAGTGAAGTGATTTAAATTTCTTCATGAGTGATATAATTGCGTCTCCTGGTAACCATCTTTACATATGTATTGACCATCTTCTATTGACTTGGATTTTAAACTTTCTGGTCACCTGATTTACTCTTTATTATTTTTTTTTATTCCTTCACGTTTCCTGTAGAACATAGGGCTTCAAGCTAGTGGCTTGAAGTTTCTGTAGCAGTGTTTATTTTTTACAGGATGGGGTTGCTAGCCTCATGCCCAACCTTTCCTCTTTACCAGATTTAGTTCTGGATTAGCGAGGTAAAGGAGTGCGTCGGCCGGGGATCGAACCCCGGACCATGTGCATGGTCGGCGAGCGTCCTAACCGCTATGCCACCGACGCACACTTTTTATTAATTGGTATATTTCATCTATATTAACGTGTTTGTTAATCGCATTTTCGCTTGAGTACCAGGCTTCTAGGAATTCTCTGGCACTTTTCGTGTTTCCTCTCTTTAAGATTTCGACATGATCCCAATCAAACTGATGACCATAATTGGTCTGCATGTATTGATACTAAAGAATACATATCATGTCTTTTCACGGCTGATTTGTGTTCTTGGATTCTGATTCGAAGGGGACGCCCACTTTGGCCGATGTAATGTTTGTTGCAGTTCATACAATTTATTTTGTAAATGGTATTAATTTTATCCCCTTTTTCTGTTGAATCTTTTGGTTTTCATAATATCGAATTAAGCGATTTTACTGGTTTGTGTGCTATATCTATATCTAACGGTTTCAGTATTCTAGCTGTTATTTCAGAGATATTCCTCATGTATGGTAGAGTGAATTTTCTTGTGGTCTTTGTTGATAGTCTTGGTGTAACTGTGTAACAGCAGAAGACAAGAGACTTGGTAATGGAGTTTTATTTATTTATGTACACCTTATCTGAAAACCGTTATTTGCTCAGATCTTCCGTGTTGTGCTGCTTCTGCCCTTTGTATTGTCTTTCTTTGTCTTCCTTTCGTGTCTCCTGTGTTTCACTGTAATACTGGTTCATTTGCCCGCTATGATGTCAAGTGTATCAGCCTGCTGCTTGATGTTTTTGTGTGGTGATGAAGGTCTCTTTATATCCCGACCGATAGCTGCTACCTTGACGTGGTGGTCGCCGGGTTTGCAAATCGCAATGACCCAACAAGCTGCACTGGCTGGAACCAATGTTCCTGCAGGTCCTACCATGCCAGAAAGGTTGTTAGGATAGCGATTAGACTAAAAGCAGTTACCGGAATAGTGTAAGAATTTCATTTTACACTATGCTGGGGGTCTGACGGCGAAGTCGTACTGCTGGGGAACAGGGGTGTAACAGCAGTGAGGTGTTTCCCTCAGATGACCAGCATACCAACTATGCTGTCTGTCTCCGGAGGGGGTTAGAAAAGGTCTACCCCAACAATTGTACATCAGTGCGTAACCGGCAGTAAATTTACTAATACGGAACCAAACCAAGAAACCAGTTCAGACAGGCCGTGTGTGCGTGAACGGCCTCAAGCAGTTGTCCCCTGGACTCTTCGATCACGCAACACTAACCCCCTTACTGTTTCAGATACCTGAAGAATCAATCAACTTCCACGGTGTGGGGAGCCGGGAAGTAACAACCGCCCACACACTTCCAAAAGCACACGAAGCCTTCCTGAGCATCATTCTCCTTTACTCTCTTTATATACTACTGAATAATCTTGTCAGTAGCACTCACTTCAACTGTACTCGTAATCTTGAGTAATTCATATGCACCTTCTATTATGGTACCTTGTTGTTTAATTGTTTTTTCATCACTCAATGAGTTATTTCTCAACTTTTTCACTTGGATTAATAGAAGATGAAATTTTCGGTGATCACTCACAGTATTCCATTCATCTTGTCTAGGTTATTCTGTCTGATTCATGATTAGCACTCCAGAACACCTTTATGCGGTTTACTAATAAGTAGGTTCTCATTCCTTCCGTAGCTTATCCGGGACTACCTTGTGTTTTTTTGCTTAATAAGCTATTTAACTTCCGTTTGGTATTCATATATTTATAGCAACAATCGATAAGTATTGATTTTAAAATTTTCAACCAACTCAGCTGATGAAATATGTCACATGATTATCACAAAACTTAGCGCCAAGGAATAATATACACTCGCAAATCTTTATCATCAAGGCCAACATATGAGAAATTATGAACGCATACCTATCGACCAGGGTTTGGAGGGAATTGCATTTTTGGAGTTTCACTGCCCAGGCTTCCTAATCATTTAATGCGTTTCTTATATCTTCCTCTTCGCAGCAACCTGATTCACATAGTCTAGTTCCCCATATCACGTAACAGAAAAATAGTTGGTGAAGCTCTAGCATAGCGAATAGGTAAAAGATAGTGTTTTGAATTTGTCCAAAGAAGGAATTATTATTATTGCTTCCTTTAGTTCCTAGAGGAACGTCGTAGGGCTTCAACCGCCCGTCTCCATTGCGTTCGATTCTCCGCCAACGTTTTCACCTGGCTCCACGTCTGCCCACATGCTTTCATCTCCTCTTCACATCACCTCCTCTATGTCACCTCACCCTCACACTGACGACCAACTCGCCGCTTCCCATTCGGGTTCCACTCGAGCAATGGCCTGGCGTGTGATGTCACTCACTTGATGGTTTGTTTTCTCAGAGTATGGCGAATCCACCTCCATTTCATCCTGCATATTTATCTCTTAATTGGTTCCTGATTGGTTCGCTCCCGGATATCCCTGTTGCTGTTCTTTTCCGGCTATCTGATCTTGATTGGTATTGAGTCAAGACAGCTACTGATGAAGGTCTGTAGTTTGTACGAACTGCCCTTCGTGACACGTCGCCAAGTCTCTGATCCGTATAGTAGCACTGACTTCACATTGGAGTTGAAAATCCGGATCTTATTTTCATTTTCCTGCTGAGTACTGCTGATTTCACACAGGCTTGACAGAAACGAAAGCTTGCCTTGCTTTCCTGATTCTCTCTCTCTGATATCCTCGTCAGCCTGTAGTTGAAAGGATGCTTCCCAGGTAGGTAGGTAAAGGAGGGACTTAAATGTGACTGACAAGTTTATGATATCTTTTGATGTGTATCCTCTTTGTTCTTCACTAATATTCTTATTAAATTGAGACTGCAGTGAATTTTAAGTGAAGGGAAGTTTTGTTTTGTTTTTGCCTCATACTAACACTAACTACTATTTTTGCAATATAAGTAGTCGATTGACAAATGTTTTCATTTATTTTTTACTCTTGTAGATAATTTGCAACAATAATATGCAACAAATTGAAGTATTAGAAAATAGATTACGTGAGCTAGAACATTTAGTATTTGGAGTTAATAAGCCTGTGAAGAAGCATGTACCAAGTGAACAAGAAAAGGTTTAGTCACATATATACAGTTGCATTAATTTTGTGTGTGTGTGTGTGCGTATTTATTTATTTTAGAATTTAGTTGATCAGCTGTACACGTTGTACTCTGCGATGTCGACAGCTGAAAAGCGTCCAGTCAGTGGGAAATTATTGTCGAGGGGTAAGAATGGTGTTATTGTAGTATTTTAAATGACTGTATGTGTGTGTGTATATTCAATTCGTATAGTTAACGAGATTCAAAAGTACACCGATCCAAATTTTATGGAAGACGATGTCCTGTTGACCATGTCAAAGATTGAAATCATTTTAGCTCGTAAGTGGAATACACAAAATATGATTTTGACTCATTTTTATTTTAGTATAAAAAGGTATTTTTATTTTTACTACTTTTAACCATCTGGTAGACATTTTTGAAGCGGCGGGGTGGGTGGTTGGGGTTGAAGAGAATTCGAATTGGGGTTGCGTGATACCAGAGCTGAGCCTTGGGGGGGCAACTACTTGAAGCCAGTCATTCACGGCCTGTCTGAATTAGCTTTTTGATTTGGTTCCGTGTTAGTAACTTACCGCCGGCTACGGAGCACCGTAGGCTAAGTCGGTGTGTGCAATTTTTAGGGTTGACCTTTTCTAACCCCCTCCTTCCAGAGTGGAGAGACATCTTCACTGGCATGCTGGTCATCTTACTATATCGGTAACAGTTTTTAGTCTAATCGCTATTCTAACGAACTTCCTGGCATGGTACGAGCCGCAGGAACAATAGTTCCAGCCAGTGTAGCTTGTTGGGTCATTGCGATATGCAAACCCGACGACCACCACCACGTCAAGGTAGCAGCTGTCGGTCGGGGTTGTGAAGTTACATGGATTGAGATGGTTAAGACATATGTTATACACGCATGCCTAGCCATCGCCCTCCTCGACAACAGGCTATGCTAGCCGCTGATATAAGGTGGATCAGGTTGGAAAAGAGTCAGTGGTGGTCAAACCAAAACCTGGCTTCATGAGTCAATCAAATCCATAGCGGTTAGTTTGAAGTAACCAGTCACATAGGGAAGTGCAGGCGTGGGGTCTTAGGGATGGTAAGAAGAAACGAAGGCTGGGGACAATTGGTGATACGGCTGAAAGTTATTCGGTACTTCCTGTGACCGTTTCTTAGAAAGTTAAGCCACATATCTGCGAATCGTATTTGCACACGTTAAGTCTTCTATAATTGGTTGTTGAGTTCCTCAAGGTTAGGCTTTGTTCTTGTTTTTTCTCCTGACTCCAATTCGGGACGTAAACATTGACGTCAATTGTTGCATACAATTTTGGCTTGCAGCTAGCTCTCATCACACTACTAGAATGATTTCATAAGTGGGTATCTTTATCATTCGTCTATTTAAGCTGAATTACTTGCTAAGACACGTGTTGCGTATATCAAGCTGCTGGCTTCCTCAAGGAGCAATGTTAACTGACATGAAGTTGGTTTTGGGGAAGAGTTAGATGTGGTCAATGCAGAGCTTGGCATTAGTCCATGAAGTCTTTCACAGTTGACTAGAACTACATAGAGATGCTAAGAATCACTGAAGTGTTACAGGATTTCATCGTGAACTGACATTGGTTGGAGAACCATCGGAAAACCTGGGAGTACTGGACAGCCAGCTGTTTTGTCCTAGTTTGGTGCTCTTCAGCAGTACGCACCCGCTGTGGTTCGAACTCAGAACCTTCGGGTCACAAGGTGAGCTCGTAGACCAGTAAGCCACTGGAACCCGATCCAATGGCCCATGAATTCTAACTTCTACCAGTTCACCACATAGTGTGACCACTAGCCAATGTCTTTGGCGAGTATTTGTCCTCACACCCAACCTGCTGCACTCTACTCGTCACGACTTCTCACTAGAACCCCAGGTTCTCTAACCAATGTCACCTCATGATGAAATCCTGCAAAAATTGTGTAACTCTAAATAAGTGTCATTCATTAATCCACTTACCTCACTTTTAATCCATATAGTTGCTATAGGGAAACAAATCTATGCATAACTGTATTAGGTTCACATTATTAATACTATTATTATTATTACTATTGTCCCCTTGGGTTCCGAATAGAACATAGGGCTTCAAGAAGACATCTCCACTTGGTTCTATTTTCTTCTGATCTCTTTAGCTGGGCTCATAATCTTTCATCTCTTCCATGTCATTCTCGAAGTGACGACCCACTTGTCGCTTCCCACTTGAGGGCTTGGCATGCGATGTCATTCGTCGGTCTCCTCAGAGGCGTATGCCCGATCCCTCTCCATTTTCTCCTACATATTTGTTGAAAGATAGGTTCTTCTTTAGTTTATCCCCATTGTTTCTAGTTGCTAATTCTTTCTGAACATTTGATCTTCAGTATAGGTCCACATACAATCTCATAACTAACTCTTCATTAACACAGTGTAGTTGCACATTTCCCGTTGCCTCCAAAGCCTCAGGATGGTCGGGGGTTGATTGTCGTCTATATAGGACAGGAATATTCGACCTTTTTATTGACATATCGGATCCTAGTACGGATGCTTCGAAGATATCTAAGAATAATAAATATGATTCCATTTGAACTGATGCGGACTAGCAGTGGAATCAAGGACTCACGTCGCATCCAGATGACGATTCCCAAATAGGATGAAATGTGCATCCTGCATTCCACTTATAGTCACCATTTGTAACGGGAGAAGATAAGAGAAGTTGGTAGCGAGATGTTTATTTTTCCATTAGATATCCACATATAAAGAAATTATGCATAACATATTTGAAATAAATCCATGATTTGTACAGATCTTCCATGTTGCACTACTTCTCCTCCTTCGCAATGTCTTTCTTTGTCTTCTTTTCATGTCTCACATGTTTTGCTGCAATACTGGTGCATTCGCCGCCCCTCCCTCTTTGACATCAAATCTGTTGCTCTGTTGTAGGTCGCTTGATATGAATCTGGCTCTACTCTAATATATGTAGCATTTTTAATACAATACACAACAATTTACCAATTAAGTGGCACTGATATGTTTGTTTGTTAACAATAATTAGTCAGTGTCAACATGTCAAACGGGTGAGGGTGATAATTAACGAAGAAAATTAATGCACATTTCAAAGGTAGAAATGGTTAGAATAAATTAATTATAGAAGGATAGCACGTAATTAAAGATGAAGTGGTCAGAAAAAATAAAAAAAATTAGACAATTACAATTTTTAAGAGGATGGGGGCGAAGTAGTCCGGTTTCTAAATTCATATAACGATGGTCAAGTTATGGAAAGTGACTGTACAAATTTCTCCTGGTTACACAGGTTCGGCTTATTCTTCAGGTGGATTCCGATTGCCTCAGCTGTATGTACAAGACGAACTCGTAAAGCAAAATTAAGATTAGTAGGAATGTGATAAATAATTTTATATGCAGTATTAACGTCAACCTTATGCTCACTATCTACAAGGTGTGTTAAAATAGAGCAACGAATAGATCTTGTTTGTCCCTTGCTTAACCATGCTGCAGGATGATGTTAGGAAATACGAGGATGAATCTGCCTAATTGTGCGCCCAATGTAACTGGCTGTGCAGCTGCAGTCAAACTGGTAGATACACATAGAGGAGGCAAATTTAGGTAGTTTATCCTTATGAAGAGACACTGTACCTCTGCTGTACTGAAAGCTCTTTTAACTGCATTCTTCAGGCGCTGTGTTATTATTTCGCTGATGTTGTCGTCACCGAAGAATTGCAGTTTTATGAACATTGATTTTTTCGGAACTGTTGCTATACTGACTACTCTCCTAGGTGCTGAATTCATATTTTTATCAATGATGAATTTATCTGGATAGCCATTTTTTTTCTAAGTAATTCTGTAATAATCTTAAGCTCCTGATTGAGGCAGTCGTCTGAACAGATTAACCGAACTCTATGAAGCAGACACTTTACCAGGTTACGTGTTTATATTTCAAAGGTACAAAACTCAAAAAATGAGTGTGTACTGACCTGTTGTTGTAGGTTTCCTATACACACTCCTTCTTAGTGTGTCATCTTCTTTCCTTGCCATGAAGACGTCTAGGAATGAGATACTGTCATTACTTTCTTTCTCTATGGTAAAGTTTATTGCTGAATGTGCATCATTAAACTTGTCAAGGATATTTTTTGCATAATTCTCGTCTTTCATAACCACAAATGTGTCATCCATATATCGACAGTAGAAATCCATGTCATTAATTGCTCCTTTCAGTGGTCCATTCTCTAATTTAGCGAGGAAAAAATCAGCTGGGATTGGACCTAATGGTGAATCCATAGCTACACCATCAATTTGTCTGTAATATTCCTTATTGATAGTTTTGTGCGCCGATGTAGGTCACTTTATATACTACTCACAAATCTTGTCAGTAGCACATAGCACCCACCCAACCAGCAAATGGATGCATCTCTTTTTAAATTCTCCATATATAGTGATGTATTCTCTTCATTATTATTATTATTATTATCGTTTTTTGCCTCTTACTTTAGAGGAAGAGCTAATAAAAAAAATTGGAAGTGATTTGGAAAAAATTTCAAAGCTCCGGGATTGTTTAAATCATCCAGCATTCAGTGGTGAGTTTAATACTGCTCATACGGTTATTATTGTTATTATTACTCTCAATTGTTAGTTTCTAGGCATTTGCTGGGTTTCAATTTTGACCATGGATTGATATTTGTTAGAGAACCATTGAAAACCAGGGGGGGGGGGCGGGGGAGTAATGGGCAACTGTTTCGTCCTAGTTCGGGACTGCTCTTCTGTCTGTCTGCCTGCCGGGTTTCAACATAGAACTTTGCACCGGTGTGTAGTAGTTCGAGTCGCCACACTTCGCTCAGCACATAGAGCCACAAAAGAAGAAGAAAGTAAAAAGAAACACAAAATAGAGACAGTAAACAGAAATATGAGGCAAAAAGATTAGCAGTATCGAAGAACAGCATAGTTTTATTGGAAATTATAAGTCACAAGAAGTGGATGCATCTGCGCCAGCCATTGAGAACGAGGAATTTGAGCCATATCCCCGATTGTCTCCAGCCTTCATTGTTGTTTACCTCCCGAGGACCCGAACCAGTCAGGAAGTCTACATGTTCCTACGTGGTTTAAACTAACTGTTGTGGATTTGATTGACTGATGAAGCCATGTTTTGGTTTGACCAGCATGTGCTAGCTCTTTCCCAACCTAATCAATCTTATGTCAGCTAATATTGCCTTGTATCGAGGAAGGCGATGACTAGGCATGCGTGTGTAACACATGTCCTAACCATCTCAATCGATGTAACTTTACAGCCTCGTCTATTGATTTCCCTTCCTTAACTAGCACTCGACCAAAGCCTAACCTCAATATTGCTCACCCTATTATACCACTTCACATGGGAGATAGAACGCAGGCGCCTATGATCAAAGACAGCTAGTCAGACTTTTTCACGTCTTCCACTCTCAATGGCCAGGTCTCATATCCATAAAGGAGGACGGAGCGGACTGATGAGTAGTACACACGGCCTTTGGTCGATTGTCGGATATCACGTCTACGCCAGAGACGGCGTAAGTTGGCATATGCGGAACTAGCTTTCTGTATCCGTGCTGAGATTTCGTCAGCAATCAACCCACTGGCGTGTTCGCTAATGCAACTTCCCAAATAAGTGAAGTGATCAACACGTTCCATTACCACTTCGCTTCCTATTTCTAAGCTAATAGTCAATGCAGTTCAGTCTAGTGTGCTGTAGTATCATCTTACATTTCACAGAAGGAGCGAATCGCATACCAAACATTCGCAGACTGCAACTCTTCATCAGTATAAACCTACGACCTCGCCGGGGATCGAACTCTGAAGCTTCAGATAACGAGGCGATCTCGTTGACAGACCGACCATCCAGCCACAGCGACGGTGTTCACTGGCCTTTTTATCATTTTGTGACTTTATTATTATTAGTAGTATTAGTATTCGTATTTATATTTGTATAATTACTGATGAAGCCTGCTGTCGTAGTTATCCTGAATTCACCTGTGTGTGTGTGTGTCTGTGCTTTTTGTAATACTTTTAGATATAAGCACATTGAAGAAGAAGTTTGAAGAATTGCGTATTGTCTACAATGAACAAAGTGATGTGTCGCAGCAGTTGATATCAGATACGCAGGATTTAGTGAATACCTATCAAAGTTTCGTATGTTTGAACACAATACTATTATTATTATTATTATCACTATTATTATTATTCCTTTTTATGTTTCTAATGTGATGAGATTTGATATAGAATTTTAGATAGGTCAGGAAGGATCAGTCCATCGATACAGTGATGAATCTTTGTTGAATAATGTGATCGTGACACTAAACTGCTACTCATATTATAATAAAGGTTGTTTTTTGTATTTAAAAGTCAGTCTGAACGAAGAATATTCTTTTCTTTTACGAGTTGATCACGGACTGATATCAGTTAGAGGACCATTGAAAGCCAGGGAGTACTGGACAGCTGCTGTTTCATCCTAGTTTGGGAATCATCGGCAGTACGCACCCACTGGGGTTCGAACCCAGGACCTTCTGGTTACAAGGCAAGCTCGTATACCATTCAGCCATTAGGACCCGATTCAATGGCTCATGAATTCTTACTTCTACCAATTCGTGATTTAGCGCGACCCCAACCATTGTCGTTGGTGGGACATCCATCCACACACGTGCTATTGAATCGGGTCCCAGTGGCTGAATGGTATGCGAGCTTGCCTTGTAACCGGAAGGTCCTGGGTTCGAACCCCAGTGGGTGCGTACTGCCGATGATTCCCAAACTAGGATGAAACAGCAGCTGTCCAGTACTCCCTGGCTTTCAATGGTTCTCTAACTGATATCAGTCCGTGATCAACTCGTAAGAAAAAACATAACTAATCCTTACAAACCAAACTATAGAGGAATATTCTTTTCAATAATTTCTTCTCTTCAGGTTCTTACAATTATAAAGTAGAATATTTATTGTCGTTACAATAATAATAGCCAGTTAGTTATGCGGTGGATACATTTTTAACGTAGGATAACAGATTAGTAATTATGGGGTGTCAAAATAAATAGTCGTATTTGTGTAACAAACGTGCTCTGGGCTGAATTCGATTACAAAATATTGTAAAATGGGAGGCAATGGTGGTGATTAATCATAATAGATTTGTAGAGTGTGGGGTAGGAAAATTGACAAGTCAGTTCAAAGTTATAAAAGGTGTCAGGCGAGTGAGTGGCTAGTACAAAGTGGTCTGTATTAAACAGGAGGAGATAGTAGGACTGCAATGAGAGGTTCATCATGAAATAACGAATATGTGAAATGAAGAAACAGCTGGAGGCATATATTGAGAAAAGAGATAATATCGCTACTAATAATAAGTCCGGATAGTATAAGTGGAAAATTCGATTGCATTGAGAGAATGTTTGCATGAAGGGCATAAATTATGACGAATAATATTAATAATAATTGTAATGATAATATTTGTAATAATAAGCGAAGCAAAAAAAAACCTAGAGGGTTAAGAGGAAGGGGCACTCTTGGTGATAAGAAGAATCATCAATCCAAGTTTGGCCATGGTAGGAACAGCGTCTGAACGTGTTCTTTTTGGATACAAAGTTCCGACTTAGTCGATCTTATTACAACAGCTTCAGCTATGTGTAGGAGACGTAAGCGAACTGTACGTGATAACGTGACTTTATTTTGTCACCGCATAACTACTAATCTGTTATTCTACGTTCAAAATGTATCCGCCGCATAACTGGCCCTTATTGTAACGACAACAAATATTATATTTTATAATTGTAAGAACCTGAAGAGGAGAAATTATTGAAAAGAATATTCTTCGTTCAGATTGACTTTTAATTCATAATGTGGGGGAATATTCCACATTATCAAATCTTTTTGTATTTCCCAATGAATGAATGGAAAACAAAACGATATTGTTGTGTTTACTGACGTTTCGCTATTTAATGCTACTGCTAATAGCTTTATGAAAGTAGTAAAACTAAAGCAGAATTTGCAAAATCTCAGCTTATATATGTAACAACTTAATCCTCATTCTTCAGCATGGGGTAGGTTAAGATAAGAAGACCATGTATAGATTGTTGAATTAGATAACCGTATGAAATTATAAAAGCAGGGTGTGTTAACACAATGAAATTGTTTATCACACCAGTGTTGATTCTGTCATTTCATGGAGTGAGGCAGGTGAGTGTTGTAACCAGGTCAAATTCTGTTTTAGTTCATCATTCCTATTCATCAGACAATTTGGATTCCATTTGATGATGTGAAGTGCTTCTGATGATATTAGACGTTCTTTGTGATTTCTAAAATGCTTTTTCTGGATGATGATTTCAATATTGTCAAAATCAATTTTGTGTCCTGATTCTATAGCGTGTAGACTTATGGCTGGCTGATGATTTTTCAAGGTTTTCTAGTTCAACTGGATTTCTCGGTAGTCGAACAGATGCGGCTCTACAGTGTTCATTTCTTCTGATCTTGATTTCTCTTTGGCGATGTTTGTCGGATGTATATCGCATCATATTCCAAACATTTGACTTTGTAAACTCAATTAGATAGAAAATCTTTAGGGATTTGGTCTTTTATATAGACAAGGCTGCTTTGCAGTCTGTTTGATGTTTTGAAGCAAATTCTGATGTCGATCTTATTGAGTACTCTTCTGATATTGTCTGACGTTTCTGCTCTATATGGAATGACAACTGTTGAGGTCCATGTTTTCGGAATACGTTTTCGACCATATTTAATGTCAGTGTTGATTTTGTTGATGAAGTTCTTTGGGTAGTTATTTTGCTTGAGAGTCTCAGTAATGTTTGATATTTCTTCTTTTTCTTTCTCATCCGTTATCAATCAAAGAGTGTGCTCGTCTAAGAAGACTTAACACAAAAATGACCCCATACAGAGGAACAATGATTAAGTTGTTATATATATATATATATATATATATATATATGGAGGAGATCATGTGATGGGGAAGAGATGAGAGAGTTTGATCAGTCGTGTGGCTAGCCTGCTGCTGCTGGATTCAACATAGAACTTGGCACCGAAGTGCAGCAGTTCGAGTTGCCACGTTCCAAAGAGCACACAAAGGTAGACAGGAAAATGAGAGAAGAGAATCAATAGAGTTTTGACAAGTATAAGAGTGAAACAGAATGAGTAAGAAAGGAATATGAAAGATTACAGAGACTGAATACATCTGCGCCATTGACAACGATTTTGAGCCATGTCACCTATTGTCTCCAGCCATTGATTCTTAGAGTCCCGAGGGCGGGCCCCAACCTGGAAGTCTGCATCTCCCTCCCTCCCTGACTCAGTTTAACTGTCAAGGATTTCATGGATTGATGAGGCCATGTTTTTGTTTGGCCACCGCTTACTCTTTTCCAACCTGCACCTATATCAGCTAGTAATGCCCGTCGGAGTGGGGAGGCGATGGCTAGGCATGCGCAGCACATGACCTAGCCATCTCAATCTATGTAACTTTATAGCCTCTTCGATTGATTTTCCCTCTTTGCCCAACACACTACGCCTGACGTCAACATTACTTACCTTATTATACCACCTAACGCGAGAAAGAGATCGTAAAAATCTGTGATCAGAAACAGTCAACCTTTTCATGTCTTCCGCTCTCAATGGCCACGTCTCACCACCATAGAGATGGACGGAGCGAACTGCTGAGCAGTATACACGTCCCTTGGTTGATAGCCGGATGTCACGCCTACACCAGAGATGGTGTAAGTTAGCGAAAGCAGCCCGAGCTTTTTGGATCCGTACTGAGATTTCGTCACCAATCAATCCGTTGGTGCTGATACAAGTGTGGCTAGTCAGCTGAAGAGGGCGATAGAAAACAGAACAAAGTGGAGATATGTTGTTGAAGCCAGCCCTATGTTCCACTTGGAACGCAAGGGATTAATAATAATAATAATACTAAAGCATGTTTAGGGGGGGGTGATACTCAGCCAAGAAAATTAATACAAACAATAAAAAGGTAGAAATGGTTACTACAAGTGGATTGCATAATGCATAATTTTGGAAAAATGAAGAGTAATTAAGGAATAAGCGAGTGTTCGAGTTGATTACGTAACAGGTAATTGAAGAGCAGTAAAATAATTTGGAAAATTACAAATTTTTAAAAGGTTTAGGAGAGGGCTAAGTAGTCCGGTGTATACATGCATGTAACGATGGCCAAGGTAAGGAAAGTGGCTGTACAAATTTCTTCTAAATACACAGGTTTGGCTTCTTCAGGTGGATTCTGAATGCTTCACCTGTGTGTGTGTATGTGTGTGTGTAGAGGATGAACTCGTCAAGCAGAATTAAGATTAGTAGGAATACGATAAATAACTTTAAATGTTCTGTTTACATCAATTTTTTGCTCACTGTCTAGAAGGTGTCCTAAAACAGACTTATGAATAGATCTTGTTTGTTCCCTTGCTTAACCGTGCTGCGGGTTGATGTCCCCCCGCCCCCCACCCCCGATGTAACTGGTTCTGCAGATGCAGTCAAACTGGTAGATACACATAGAGGAGGCAAAGTTAGATAGTTTATCCTTATTTCTTGAAAGTAAAATAGAGGTGGTATTGGAGATACAACGTACCTCTGCTGTACTGAAAGCTCTTTCAACTGGATGAGAAAGTTCCGCAGCTCTTTCAGGTTAGGGGGCAAATTAATAAGATTACATAGTGTAATACACGGGAAGATCGGATACAGAACATAGTAGTGCAGATAGGAATTAAAACACGTAAAAATAACAGAAATAAACAGGATGTTTAGATAAGAAACTGTGATAGGATAATCACTATTGACTTTTTATGATGGCCATGATAGAAACAACGGTTGGATGTATTTCTTGTGGTTACATAGGGTGAGCTGGAACTTTGGGATCGCTAGTACCTCAGCTATTTCCGAATGCTTTGGTTTCACTGCCTTTGATCGGATCTTGTATATGACTTTGAAGGACATTTCAATTGGAGATGAATGTCCTGAATTCACCAGGTGTTCTGTTACCGAACTGTATACATTCTTGTGTTCTCCTTTTCCTGACCATGCCAGTTAGTGTTCCTGAGCGCAATTGCATGGTAGAGGACATGTATTCAGTTCCACACGAGCAAGTCAACTGGTATATGCATGTTGAAGTAGCCCAATATTGTCTATGAATCTGGGTGGGAAACCATTTTGTTATGCATCTATATACATATATATGTATTCTTCGTACACAGGAAGAGACAATTCTAATCGGTTTCTTCTTTTTCTCTCTCTCTCGCCGTTTTTTTTAACTTTCAATTTAACAGGTACTTGATGCATCTAAATTATTCCTATATTGGAATCAACGTATTGCAGAGTTAGAAACATCCTCGTGAAGTAGTGCATCATCACCATCATCATCATGATTTAAAAGGTATCCTGTCACAAGCTGTCATCTAATATTTTGATCAATTTTCATTGTTATTCAATTCGTTATTATTTTCCTATTTCTGGTAACTTTGTAAAGGATTAAAAAAAGGTGGGGTGGGGGAAGGCAGAGAACGGGGGGTGTTGTTGTACCTTTAACTTTCTTTGTATAAATCTTTGTTGAAAGTAAAGAGAGGTGTTTTTTTCACTTTGTATTGTCTTTATTTATTCGATATTGCTCATATTCAACAGAATTGTATGTTAGGAGGGTAGCTCATTGTAATTTAAAGTACTCAATTGTTGACTGGGAGAATCCTTGATACGAATCTTGCCGCACTTTATGTGCCCTTCGCGATGCCTTCATACTGCTACTACTATTACTACTACTACTACTAATAATAATTTGCTTTATTCCAGAAACAGTACTAGTGGTACACTGTGGAATTTTCAGCACATATCTACAATATTTGCATCTAATTTTATCCAAAGTTTAAAGAGAGTATTTCAAAAAAATTAATATAAAGACAACAACAGTAAAAAAACACAGGGAAAAACACAAAAATAATAAAAAATGCGAAAAAAATATTAAGAAGTAGAAAGGAAAATAAACAGCATATAATAATAACTCAGTATTGGGTAGTGGAAGCTATGATATGATTATGCATGGTGACAGTAAAACTATAGTCATACAAGAAGTTATGAAATGATATATAAGGATGTTTATCGCCAAGAAGATCACTTAATTTAGGTTGAAACAACTCTAAACAATCATAAAATAACATTTCAGGGTTGTTGTTTTGTTCTTTATTGTCAGGTCTAATACGCTGTTTGTAGTGGGGTAGTGTGAGTAATCCTGCGTAATACAAAATTTTTAAGGTGGTGACTATGGGGTTCACAACCAATGATTGTCAGTTTAATATTGCCGAAAAGTATAGAAAAATCAGAAAAAACAACCACAAAACTAATAATTACATGATGGTTAATGACAGGAAAATTTTGTAATACTCATACTATCATAAATCCTCACATTAAAGTGTATGATGATTCACAAAATCACCTGGTTTTGTGATAAACCGATTCTAGCTAACAACTGTTGACATGACATTAGGTGTGGGGGTGTTTATACGGGAAGTTGAGTTACGGAATATATAAACATTTGATCATAAGGAATAATAAAAAGACGCGGTTGTAGCGAAGAAAAATTTCTTTTTGACGAAGTCCCCGTCAACTAGGCTCTACATTCGTGTGTTTATAATAAATGGGTACGAAAGTTCCAGAATAACTTCTGGTCGAGGGGAAAATTCATAAAATCACAATTAGAAATTAAAATGCCATAATAAACAGGGTATCCGTGCAGTGATTTCGTCAGCGATCAGCATGCTGGCACTATGGCTGATGCAACTTCCCAAATAAGTGATGAAGTGGTCAACATGCCCTACCAGTTCACTGCCCATTTCTAAGCTAGGAGTCAGTTTAGTGCAGTCCAGTCATGTAGCATCATCTTACATTTGACAGAGGGGGCGAATCGCATGCCAAACATTCGAAGATTGCTGCACAGCTCAAGGTGTTTGGAAGATGCTGGAGGATTTTATCATGAGCTGACATCGATTAGAAGATCATTGGAAAACTTGAGAGTACTGTACAACTGTTTCGTCAGCCTAGTTTGGGACTCTTCCGCAATATGCACTCACCGGTAAGGTTCGAATCCAATTCCTACTGGTTACAAGGCAAGCTAACTGTTAGACCATTCAGCCACGGGGACCCGATCTAGTGGTCGTCGACTTGCAACCGCTACCAATTCATTGATATGTCGCGACCACTAGCGAATGTCATCCATGGCGAGTAGAGGTCCTCAAACCCAACCTGCTGTACCCCACTGGTTTTCCAATGGTCATCTAACCGATGTCAGTTTATGATGAAATCCTGAAATCAATCAAATCCCTGTGATGATTAGTCGCCATAATCGATTTGTAGAATGTGGGGTAGGAAAAGTTGACAAGTCAGTTCAAGGTTATAAAAGGTGTCAGGTGAGTGAGTGGCTAGTACAAAGTGGTCTGTATTAAACAGGAGATAGTAAGACTGCAAAGAGAGGTTAATCATGAAATAACGAATATATGAAATGAAGAAACAGGTGGAGGCATATATTGAGAAATGAAGATAATATCACTAATAATACGTCCGGATAGTATAAATGGAGAATTCGATGGTATTGAAAGAATGCTCGAAGGAAATGTGTAAATTATAACTAATAATTATAATAAGCAAGACAAAAAACGGATGCGAAAAAGAGACATTCTTGGAGAGAAGAAGAAACGTTAGTCCAAGTTTGGCTATGGTAGGAACAGTGTTTGAGCGTGTTCCTTTTGTATACAAATTTCCGGTTCAATCGGTCTTATTGCAACTCTTTCAGATGTGTGTAGGAGACGTAAGCGAACTGTAAGTGATAATAACTTCGGAATTTGGTATATACTAATAATCAAGATAGCCTTAGATGCAGTTAAAAGAAAACTAACTGCGGATCCTTAACTTACTCATAGGACAAAGCTTCCCATTGAGGAAATTATTCTAGGAATTCAGTTATAGCTCACATCTATTAACTTTAAATTCTAGGGCAAAATATATGGACAAACACCAGGTGTAGCGATAAGGTGGATTACCAATATCCTCTATCGTAGCAGATATCTTTATGGACAGCTGAGAAAACAGTGCTCTTAATACATTTAATCCTACTCGAAAAACATCGTGGAGATATGTGGATGACACTTTCACACACAGTGTTGAAAACAGAACATATCTCTAGCTTCTTGACGCATATAAATCCACTAGTGAAGGGAGTAAAGTTCACATTTGAATCGGAAAACGAACAAGGTGAATTAGCTATGTTAGATTCTAAAATCAAACGAACAGAAGAAGGTAATCTGCACACTAGCGTTTATAAAAAACCAAGGCATTCTAACGGATATTTAGAATTTAATTCGTCTCATCAGTTGTCTGTAAGGGCTGGCTTAGTTTAGTGTTTAACAAACCGAGCAACAGCATTAAGTAGCACAAGAAAAGACCTAAATGATGGAATAAAACAGACAGAAGAGGCGTTCGTGTTAAGTAACTAACCATCCCATAAAATTCATTAGGAAGACCAAAAAAAGTCAAAAGCCAAAAAAAATGGGGAGACTAACGGTAGCGTCGGTGGCATAGCGGTTAGGACGCTCGCCGACCATGCACATGGTCCGGGGTTCGATCCGCGGCCGGCGCACTCCTTTATCTCGCTAATCCAGAACTAAATGCTGTTGAAGAGGAAAGGTTGGGCATGAGGCTAGCAACCCCAACCTGTAAAATTAACACTGCTACAGAAACTTCAAGCCACAAGCTTGAAGCCCTATGTTCCACTGGGGAACGTGAAGGAAAAAAAGAACAGTAACATAAATAAGGAAGAATATAAGTCATCTACAGTTCTACCATATAAGGAATTAGGGTGGCATTCAAACCTACAAACTCACTCAGGTAGGACAATCTCTGCAGGCTAAAGGATCCCGTCGGTTGACCCAATTAGACAAAATAATATAATTCACAAAATACCTTGCAATTACTGTAAGTTAAGTCAACTACATAGGTCGAACTAATAAGTCGGAAGTAGTCAGATTGTCGGGACATAAGAATTTAGCTAAGATTAGAATGGTTGACCCCGAGAAAATAAGTAATTTAAAAAAAAGCTCAGCAATTGCACTTCACGCATTAACAAACAACCACACGATAGGGTGGGATAGGGTTAAAATTCTAAAAGGTAATCTAGGTTGGTGGAGAGAGAGGTTGATTACTGAATCTTTGTTCATCGAGTCCACACCCAAAACATGCAATAGGATGCAATGACTCATCACTCATACCGGAAATATGGAATTCCCTACTACCAATCAAGTAAAGCGATGGAAAATAATGGAATTATATAAATGAAGCTGAAAAGTTGTGTGAGTAGTGCCTTGATATGATTATGAGCGGCAATAAATTGTGCTCGAAACGTTGTCATGAATCATAAATGTAACTGTATAACAGTGTGAGACTTTATCAAAATAAATTTTACCCATAATGGAATTATACTCTACCGCCACAGTGCACAAGTTCTATTGGTATATCTATAACCGTGAAGGTTGTGTTGGTGTCGATATGATGTCCAGTATAGACCAAGTGTGACAGAATCAAGCTTTTTATGCTTTTAATCCCCCCTCCTTGCTGAACCAAGCTGGTAAATGTTCTCAAACCCGTCGACGAACCTGCCTAATCGTAAGTAATTGTAAGAACCTGAAGAGAAATTATTGAAAATAATATTCTTCATTCAGATTGACTTATAAATATATAATAACAACTGTAAGAGTTTTATGATATGATATTTTCAAGATCCTATAATTAATTTAAGGCAGTGAAATATAAGGGAAGATTGTAAACACTCACCAGTAGCTTTTTAGACGACAGTTAGTATTAGTAGTCCAAGCCTTGTATATACACATAAGCTCATTCCTTGAGAAGGTCGTCGCTTTCATTGATAGTTATATCTGAAATGACAAAACATCTGACGAATAATACCAACATTTTGGTATCACCCATATCAGGATTAATAGCTGAAGCCGTTATGCAAAGATTAGAACTAATAGCTCTACCTATAATTAAACCGAAAATCTGGATACGTTACGTTGACGATACATTTGTAATAATTAAGAGAAGTGATTTAGAATATACTCATAAATTAATAAACTAAATATATTTGAAGACATCAAATTCACAAGAGAAGAAGAATTCGATAACAAAATCCCTTTTTTAGATGTCCTAATCAAGAGAACCAACACAGGAGATTTAGAGACACAAGTTTATAGAAAATCAACGCACACAGATCAAATACTCAACTATACTAGCAATAATCCAGTTACTCACAAACGAAACTGTGTGCAGACATTGTTTAAAAGAGT